GAGGTCGGGACAGGAGACACTTTGACATCTGATTTTTCAGGAGTTGAAGTCACATCCGGGGACACAGGTGCAGGTGCAGGTGATTTGGTGACAGTGGAGGTCGGGACAGTGGAGGTTGTGACAGTGGAGGTCGGGACAGGAGACACTTTGACATCTGATTTTTCAGGAGTTGAAGTCACATCGGGGGACACAGGTGCAGGTGACTTGGTGACAGTGGAGGTCGGGACAGGAGACGTTGCAGTGGTCGACTCAGGGGACTTTTGATTAGATGATATTGGGGGTTTTGATGGTGGCGAAAGATCAACCAGAGGCGTTTTAGTCTGCCCAGACTCTTTGGGTTGTGGCTCTTTAGAGGCTACTTGAAGACAATCTTTGATTAGTTCAGGGAGGGGAGCAGCCACCTTGGTGTCAAAAGTTGGCTGTTCTTGTGTAACAGACACTTGAGGGGTCTCTTCTTTTGCAGGCTCTGGGGTGGCCTTCTTCTCCAACTTTGGAGCAACCGGCTCATTAACACTCACAGCAGCAGCTGTCTTAGTGCTGGTGTCAGCACTGTAAACCACAGAGATAATGAATCAAACTCAAATCACTTGTTGCACTGGAAATAGAAACATGGTGCGGGATTTACATTTTCTGAGGTTCGGGCGCAGGCTTGGATGCAACAGATGTGACAGGAACAACAGGGGATGGCAGCACAGCGCTGGCAGGTGCAGGAGTCTCAGAAGGCTCATCATCATCAGTAATCTCCACCCTGCACATTTTTAGTCAACCACATGATGGCACAAGTAGAAATGCATGCAAGTGTAGAGCACATATTTCACATATCTTTTCTTTTTGCCTCTAGGAAAAAGGGCTTACCTTGTAGCCACAAATGCTGGACTGCTATTGCTGAGCGATGTGTCAGGCGTTTCTTGAGACCTTAGAGTTTTGAACACAAAGCCTGTGTGAATGCCTCCGTAAGTGCTCAGCAAGGCACATCAATAAAAAGAATTTCCCACTGCATGGGAAGTTTTAAACATATGCACTATTCTTTTATGAAAGCATTACAGAAACATGCTGTATCTCAAGATAAGCATTAGAATAGTGGCATGAGAAAATACGTACTCGTATTTCTTTGCAGCTGAAAGCACGTAAGACCGTTGCCTGGCTGCAGATTTCGTCAGAACATTACTGGCTTTCTCCGTCCTGCAGAATGAATCAGAATAATGTTAATGTAATCTCTTTCCCGGGTGTCTAACTTCAGGACGCAAGGAGAGTCTTACCGCTTCTCCAGCTCCTCGAGGCTAAGCTGGCCCTCCTGTTTCTCTGCAGCAGACCGCACAGTGTGGGGGGCTCTGAGGAACAGAAGCACAAACATGCACCTTGTGAAAAGACTCTCATCCAGCTGCCAGCAGTTAAACTGGGACTCTGAATTTACGTTTGCTCACATTTTCTTGTAGGTCTCTGAAGGCTTTTTGTTGAATTGCGGTGTTTTGCTGCAATAAAACCAGATAATAAGTAATGGAGGAAAGGTCAAACTGCTTGTCGAAGCTGTGTGGTTCAGCTGCTCTTACCTAAAGCCGTTAGATGGTGAGGATGGAGGAGGCTTGTCCACTTTAGTGAAAACACCCCTGAAGAAAAAGAAAGAAAGTCCTGAACAAGCCCTTATTTCTTTATACAGTTTGTGTGTGTGTGTGTGTGTGTTTTGTTTGTTTATTTTTAAGTGTTCACTGTGATGGTGACTGAGACTCCACTTTGGCTGACTAAAATCTCTGTTTTATAAATATATGTGTTTTTATATGCTTTGTGGTAAACGTATTTTATAACCCAGATGGTGGTGCTCAGAATATCAGAAGCCTTTCTCTTACCTGATAAGGTATCCGGATGTTGGCTGCCTAAACTCAAAACAGAGACTTGTTATCAGCACAGTCATGTTTCAAAGAACTGCAGATAAGCCTATGACATTAAAAACCTGGGTTTACCTCTCCGTGTCAGACTTGGTTGGTGGCGGAGTAGAATTTGTTGGCGAAGACACTGGACTGGTGTCAGCAGGGGCTCCGCTCAGACGGCTGGCTTTAACTTCTGCTATCCTGTAATGGAATTTGGTTTTATCTTATTTTCATTTATTTTCTTTGTGACAGAGTAGATGATAACGGGATGATGGGTATCGTGCTTAAACAGGGGTGTTTACCATGGTTTCTCCTCTTGCGTTTCATCCTTAGAGTCATTGCTGCGTTGCAACCAGCTGGCGTCTCCCCTCAGCCTTGTCCGGACTTTGGTGGTACGCAGCACGGACGCTCTGTCTCCCTCTGAGATACAAACATGTGCATATCACACACCCGCACACAAGCTCACATTTGAGATATGATACACACTATATGCTGCATCATAATGACAGCTTAATAATTGTCTGCTTGATAGCTTCTAAGATATACAGTCCCCCTTTGAGCCAGAAGACACTGTATCATCAACCACTTGTAGTTTGCCTTAAATCAGGGTAATAAGTGAATTTATAGCCAAGAGCCCGGCACAGATGCATAATACTCCCAGCTTTTATTGGAGGAAACACATCATCTCACATTAAAATCAAAATCTGCTCACCTTTTGACATGCTTGTTTCACGGGGTTCTCGCTCTCTTCTTTTTTCTCTTTTCTTTGCAGGCCACTAAATTACAGATAATTCAGAGAGATGATTGGCATCTTGTAAAAATTAGGCGTATGATGTGAGCAGCGAGTTGCAACTTTGTTCCCACACTATGTCCCCTCCCATTGAGAAACATGTGCTGTGTCAAACATTCCTCAGTTTCATCCTTAAAACATGCAGACGATCCTGTCTGTCCACTTTCCAAAATATGCAGCGATTGACCAAATATGAATGGACGCAGATAGGCATTCTGTGTATCTGACACTCTGTAACAATATAAACTGGCCCACATAAGATTAACCTGATTACACAAATATCGCTTTCTATTCGCTCATTTCCAAATGAACTGAGCCCCAGCTATTTAGGATCAGAAAACAGAAACGAGTTGCTCAGAGGCAAGCCTACGTCCTCAGGGGAACTTCAGTAGAAAGGGGAAAATACTAATGAAACAATCACAAGTGTACCCTTATCTGAAAGTAGACACAGAGTAGAGCTTATGCAAAACTGTGGAGTATTGTTAAAGTCAGAATGCAAATATCACTTTTTTTAAAAAGTCCTTCCTTAGGCTGTGAATTAATTCCCTTTGGAGTAAGTCGGCGCAATATCTCTTGAGGATTTTCCTGAATATTGGTGACAAAACAAACTGAGGGCTCAGAGACCATATTTATCTTCGGTTTAGCACATCAGTCTATAAGAGATAAATGATTAATGAAAGCCAATAGCATTTTAAAGCAAGCCCCGAGCACGATAGGAAGCAATCATGGCAAAGAAACATCCAGAAAATGAGAGGGCAGACACTCATAATGAACACAGTTTATATAACCCAACCAATCCGATCACTCTGACACTTTTAAAATACACAAAATATCATGTCATGAATAAGTGAACACCAGAGTTCCTACCTGCTGTCACTTTATATCCAGCACAGGAAGATTTGTTGAGGATCTGTGTCCTAGTGAGCGTGGTTGGTGTGAACAGAGGAAAAGTCTTTCTCTGTCTAACAGGTGTCTCAGCCCGACGTATTAGCCAACAGGTACAGGCGTGAGCACTAACAAGCCCAGCCAGTCAAGGGAGGTAAATATGGGGTGGAGCAGCGTGTGTTTGTCTATCTACTTGTGTGTGTGTGTGTGTGTGTGTGTGTGTGTGTGCGTAAGAGAGGTTGCTAAGAATTAATTTCTGTTTACTACATCTGGGCTTTGTTCATGGATGACAGCAAGCACATACCTGTCGCACAGGTGGCTGGCAATCAATGCTTAGAACCAGCAAGGCATAGGGGCAACGACAAGGTGCACTGCATGGCAAACATAAACGAAGTGACACACAGCAACATCTCCTTTGGGAAACACTCGTCTCATGCTCACTGGGTAGGACAGCCCAGGAAGCACAAGCATTAAAACAAGAACACAGCACAGAGCCGAGATAATGAAGAGAAACAGCGGTCGTCAGAAAAAATAGAAGCTGCTTGGAACATTCTTAATTTTATTCTTAAAGCAAAGGTGTTTTATACTTTCACGTGTGTTTCTGTGAAGGAAAAATCATGAATGCTGGCGTGAACATTGAATTTCTTATATAAGCTCTGGTAAAGGTTATTTATGGATTACCCTGTGCTTTGCAATACGCAGGATATCCTAGGAAGGAAAAACAAATGAAAGCCCATTGTAAACAAACTGTTTGCTCAATCCGAGCGACTATATCCATGTTTGTGTAAGAGAAAGTCAAGGATGTGCCTGCAATTGTCGAGCAATTTTTTTCTCCTACAAATGTCAAAAGAACACTTTCTGAGCATTTGGCCACAGTTTCAACTTTCTGAAACCACACTGTGCCTTAGAAAAAGCACAAAAACCCCATAAACAGTCTGTGTACATATTTACGAGGCCGTTTCAAAATCACAGAAAGGGTGTAGATAGGTTTCACAACACGTCACAGAAAGTAGGTGGAAGAGGAAATTGGCAACTCTGAATGCCAAAGTGTCGCTCTGGCGAGCACACTTGCAAGTGTAAATGCTAACGTGTATTATTCACCTGGATCTCTCTCCCTTGTTCCCTTGTAGAAGAAACCAGTCAGACGGCCTTGCCCAGTGGCTCTGACTCTAGCAAGTGAATCATTAGGGTGCTGCTGCTCAGAATTAAAATGAGAATGCAAAGTATCTGAACATAACCCCCACCTTATTCTCACCACACCAAGACAAGGAATGACAGAAATGCTGAACAGGGAAAAGACAAACTTAAGTAATGTAACCAATGCATTTAACGCAGTGAAGCACGTCAGTGTCGACGACTTCATTAGTATCTCAACTTTCTCATTTCCATGTAGGAGATGGATGTGTAAATATTAAGATTATAGCTGTGTTTTAAGTATTACCCGGCCCATCATTGCTTTTAATGACAGTGCTTGAATAACACAGAGTCTCCCTGACTCATCAAAGCACACGCCATGCTTATGACACCCAGCACCTAACAGCTGAGTGACTGGAACCTGTGGATGTTAATCTAGTTCACATGATGTCATATCAGAATTTTATTAGACTGATGTGCATGCATTTACCTGTGCACTGAAACCACTACTGGTGGCTGTGTTTATTTCTCCTCTTATATCAGAAATGGTGCACTCAAATTCTGCTAATTTTCTCCTCAGGATGTCGTCCCCGTGGACAACAACACAAGATACCGACCCAAGGAAGTATTTTGGTACAGAGGTTAGCAGAGGTTAGTTCTCTCATTGCAGCAGGAACAAGATCCTGGGTTTGAATCCACTGCCTGGCCATGACCTTTCTGTGTGGAGTTCGCGGATTCTCTGTGGGTACTACGGCTTCCTCCCATAGTGCTTACACATTAAGCACTATGGTGATTTAAAATTGGTTGTAGGTGTAAGTGTGAATCACTCTATTAGACATTTAACAAACAGGTACGTCCAGTGCATTCCCCATCCCTCACCCTATGACAGCTGAGATGTTCCAGCCCAAACCGGATGAAGACATATGAATGGTTGGATATTCATAGGGAATATGAACAGTCCCAAAAAAGTAAAAAAAAAAAAAAAAAATCATAATGATGTGAGAGAGTTGTTTAAACAGTAGTTCCTCCTTGGGGAGGTCTGGAGTTATAGCAGACTGCAGAGACTAAATAAAAATAACAGATGGCTCTGCCCTGCAGGCAAGGTGTGGGCAACTTTGTAAAAGTGCTGCCAGGTAAGCAAAGAGCAGATAATAAACCTGCACTAACTACCACAACTACAAAAAAAACAACAACAAAGAAATCCCCTTGGCTTCAACACAGTGTGTAATAAAGAGAGACCCAAATGTATTGGCTGTCAAAATCCTGATTTCTGTCGTGACGCCAAACAAGTTAGGACTTGTTTTTTCTGTAATGTCCCACACTGCAGATGCATTTCTAACCAATTAGTGTTTCAATGAAATTCTGTATCGGTTTATGGCTGAAGGATGCGTCTGAGAGCCTTGTTTGCGTGGGCATGTTTGCAGTGACGGTGCAGTCAATTCTCTTAGAAAAGTTTTCCACATACTTCTGGAACCTGACTGCAGGGATTTGTCCCCTTTCAGCTACGAGATGATCAGCGAGGTCAACCACTGATGTTAGGCAATAAGACCTGGTTTACAATCAGCCAGTTAAGCTATCCCAGAGGTATGTGACAGGGTTGAAGTCAGGGCTCTGTGAAGGCCATTCAAGTTCTTTTCACTCCAAACTCTGAAAAACATTTCCTAAGAAAACCTCACGTTGTGCATGAGGGCATTGTCAAGTTTAATCAGCAAAGGACTTTCTGCCCAGACAGTTGGAACAAATATGTAAGCACAAGACTGTCTACAGTATCGCTGAAGATTTCACTTAACAGCATGTCAGAAACTTGTGCAACGTCTATTCCAGGCCAAACATTCACATAATCATATATTACACGCATGTAAATATATATATGTTCTATCAAGAGCATGTGGAGGAATGTATGAAGGCATTTTGAAATCTCAAGAGCAGCATCTCAGTGTTTACAAGTACAAAGAACAGAAGACAACAAAAATCAGCTGTGATCACTGTACTGGCATTAAGAGTGGATGTACTCTGCAGTTTGTGTATGATCAGACTGCAATAAGGGCACAAGTACCATCTGCTGCCATCTACTGGTGGAATGCTACATGAAAAATAAAAAAGGCATACAAATGCTTCACATGGTGAAATTTATCTATCACTAGTGACTTCCATCATTTTCCATTTAGTATTACCGCATCACATTATTCTCATTATGAGTTTAATTGTATAAATGCCCAGAGCTCTACATGTCTCAGCAGTCTCTAATTCCAGCCACCTGTCAAGCCTCGCATCTGAGATGAGGATAGCTCTCTACGGTGCGTGCAATCGCATCCTTCAGGCTGACCACCGGTGTGTAGCCCAGGTCTTCTTTGGCACGTTTACAGTTGTAGTAGTGGTGGGTTCCAGCCAGAGCCACTCTCATCGGTGTAAAGGTTGGCTTGAAAGATATTAAAGGACTCAATAGTACGGACAGCAGCCAGAGGAGAAGCGCCAGTCCGTACACCAAACTGTAAGGCAGGTGGTAGCGGGGAGGAGGATATCCAAGACCCACCAATACTTGAGACATGAAGTCCCAAAAGCGAATTGGCTCATCGTTGGTTATGTGATATGGCTGGAAGACAAATGGAGAAAAATTAAAGTAAATTAACTGATCGAAAAGCATGTTAACCACTTGGTGCCACCACTGCTGTGGATTTTATTTTAACTCACCTTCCCACATATGGGGGAGTCTGCTCTCAGCCGTTCAGCAGCCAGAATGTGTCCATGAACTACATTCTCCACAAAGGTGAAATCTACCAGATTGGTTCCATCACTGAAGGAGACAAAAACTAATTATTTAACTGAAAACCATCAAGACATCCTTTTTGAAAATAAGTACTAGGATCTAATAATTAGTGGTAGTAGCACGCTTTCATGCTGCTTTCACGCTGCTTTCACAGGAATTACAATGTTAAGTAGCTGTTGTCAGATGCTGCTAATCACATGAACAGTTGATCATCAGCAAGTGCGAGCACTGCTATGAAAGCAAACGTTTGAGCGCTTTATTGGCATTGAGCAGTCAGGTGTGTGGTAACACAATGCCACAATTCTCCCAGGAGTGAACGATTCAGCAAATTCACCCCAAAGTCAGATTGAGTAATATTCAGAAAACTGCCCAAAAGCTACATCTCAGACTGTACATGTGTAAGTTGGCGTGTTAAAAGTTAAAGTTCATGACAGTACAATTCGTAAAAAACTG